AAGGAAGGAAGGAAGGAAGGAAGGAAGGAAGGAAGGAAGGAAGGAAGAAATGATGATTTGGGGAACAGCAGGTAAAATCAGCAAGGTTTAGTTCACATGCCCATTAGAGAATCGGGGTGGTTTTTTTAATAAATTATTTATAATTTATAGTTCTATTTTTTTCAGACTCATCACCAATCAAGGAGACTGTCAAATTGGATGAGCATTTTGTCTCCAGAGAAACTTAATCCAAACTGCATCGATTTTAAACCAAGAAGGTATTTCTTTCAAGGGTTTAACATATTAATTTACTCCCAGCACCATTTCCAAACACCAATGGGACTCGTGTTCATAAAACGTGGACAAGCAGATTAAAAAGGACAAGGAAGATTTATTATTAAAACCGTAGCCCTCCATTAAAAATGCTAATACTGAAAGATGCATACATGTACATTCACTGGGCACTGCAGGGATTAAAAATGGCAGTTTTCTCTTAAGTCCTTCCAAATCCCTTAATCAAAAATGTGAAAGGCCTCATGCAGCCTATTTATGTGTTTCTTTGCTTTATTCCATTGCTACCTTGCTACAATCCAGGATGCTTTTTTAAAATTTCAGCAATCTAGACGGAAAATATATTATCCTTGTACCAAATCATTCAAGTTTTACAAATAATCCTCCTCCTCCTCCTCCTCCTCCTCCTCCTCCTCCTCCTCCTCCTCCTCCTCCTCTCTGCAAACCCGCTCCCTTTTTGCACTGATGATATTATCGAGTTGGGTAATGAAACGTCTACAAGAAAACAACCAAGCTCAGAGAGCACCAAGCACACCACAGTTCTCCTTCTCCTCTTCTTCCTCCTCTTTCTCAACCTCTTCCTCCTCTTCCTCCACCTCCTCTTCCTTTCTTCTCCTCCTCTTCCTCCTCCTTCTCCTTGTCTTTTTTCTCCTCTTCCTCTTCCTCCTCTGTCTCCTCCTCTTCCTCCTTCTCCTTTTCCTCCTTCTCCTCTTCCTCCTCCTCTTCCTCCTCCTCCTCTTACTCCTCCTGTTAAGCAAGCTTTCCTTCATTTTCAAACATTGCTGGCCACTGTTGTTACATGAATCAATTAAGCAAGTCTGGCTTCCCCATTGACTTTGCTTGTCATAAAAGTTGCAACACAACCATCATAAGTACGAGTCGTCTGAATTTTGCTGAATGGTCGTAAAGTGGGAAGAAATATCCCAAGTCACTTTTTTCAGCACTGTTGTAACCTTGGACTGTTGTAAGTTGAGGACTACCAGTACTTGCAGCCTCAAAGATTTATACAGCGTCATTAAGATATTTGTAGTTTTGGATCCAATCCTCCTCCTAGTAGACCAACTTTGTAATTTAGATTTCAGATTGAATTGGAAGGGACCTTAGAGGTCATGTAGTCCAATCCCCCACCCAAGCAGGAGACCCTACACCATTTCTGACAAATAGCAGTCCAATCTCTTCCTAAAAGCCTCCAGTGCTGAAGCTCCCACAACTTCCGAGGGCAACTTCTGTTCCATTGCTTGACTGTTCTCAGTGTCAGAAAATTTCTCCTTATTTCTAGGATGAATCTCTCCTTCAGTTTCCATCCATTATTCCTTGTCTGGCCTTCAAGTGCTTTGGAGAATAGCTTGACCCCCTTCCTCCTCTCTGGGGCAGCCCCTCAAATATTGGAAGACTGCTCTCCTGTCTCCCCTGGTCCTTCTCTTTACTAGACTAGCCATGCCCAGTTCCTGCAACCGTTCGTTGTATGTTTTAGCCTCCAGTCCCCTAATCATCCTGGTTGCTCTTCTCTGCACTTTTTCTAGAGTCTCAACATCCTTTTTTATAATGTGGTGAACAAAACCAGATGCATTACTCTAGGTGTGGTCTTACTAAGGCTTTATAGGGTGGTATTAGTGCCTCACTTCATCTTGATTGTATCCCTCTGTTAATGCAAGTTAGGATTGCATTGGCTTTTTTGGCGGCTGCTGCACACGGCTGGCTCCTATTTAGCTGGCTGTCCACTAAGACTCCAAGATCCCTCTCCCAGTTCCTGCTATTGAGCCTGGTTTCACCCAGTCTATATGTGTACTTTGGGTTTTTCTTGCCTACGTGTAGGACTTAACTTTTCTCTATGTTGAATTTCATTTTGTTAGATAGGGCCCAGTGTTCTAGTCTGTCAAGAGGCATCTGGATCTTGAGCCTATCACCTAGAGCAAGGGTCTTCCAACTTGGGAAGTTTAGGACTCGTGGACTTCAACTCCCAGAATTCCTGAGCTAACATGACTGGAGGAGGAATTCTGGGAGTTAAAATCCACAATTCTTAAAACTGTCAAGTTTGAAGAGCCCTGATCTAGGGTGTTAGTTAAATTCTCCACACATTTAGTTAAATTTTCCGCAACCTGAAAGCTCAGAGTAGGGAACAGTCCAAGAAGCCATCATTAAAAAGAACTTCCACAAAAGAAAAAAAAAAATACACAGAACCACACAAAATATTTCCTTGAAGAAAGAAACCCCAGCGTCATCCTAAGGGATAAAATTTCGCGGATCGAAGCTTCTCCTACATTGGAAATTGAAGTGCAACGTCACACCATATAAACCAATCTGGAGTTTGCAAAGAGACTCACAGGCTGTCGCGTAGTTCTGCTGTGTCGTTTTCTGTCCCTAGAGATTTAAGACTTCTTTCCAGAGATGTGACTGGAAAAAAAAAAGAGAGAGAGAGAGAGAGAGAGAGAGAGAGATTTTTTATGAAAATACATTGGCCGGAAAGCATAGCCAACATTCGGACTCAAAACAGGATTGATTCAGTTCAGAATTGCAATTGGAGCGATGACAACATGACTCTACTGTTGTTTCACAGGGAATTCTCGTTTTTTTAGAAATCCAAACTTTAGGTAAAGGTTCTCCTTGCACATACATGCCAGTCATTTCTAGCTCTGAGGGTGTATGTCATCTCCATTACAAAGCCAAAGAGCAAGCACTGTCCAAACATGTCTATTTCTGTCATCATGTGGCCGGCATGACTAAACTCTGAAGGTGCTATTCCTTTCCCACCAAGGAGGTCCCTATTTTTCTACTTGCATTTTGACACGCTTTCGAACTGCAAGGTTGGCAGAAGCTGGGACAAGTAACAGGAGCTCACTCCGTTACGTGGCGCTAGGGATTTGAACCGCCGAACTGCCGACCTTTCGGATCGACAAGCTCAGCATCTTAGCCACTGACCCACCGCATCCCAAACTTGAGTCAGACGCAATTACTTTTTCTTGTGGAAAAGAAAACTGCAGTAGATGTCGCTACAATCACCAAAACAGAGAATTGAAATCTGTCTTGACGTGTCCTGTCCATTATCCAGTCTATTTTTTCCCCTCTTTCTTATTATTATGGTTGGACTCTCATTCAGCCAGATGTTCAAGTTAGAGTTAGCGTTATTGTCCACCTATCGAGTCTTTCCCAAGGAAAGATGCCTCCAGATGTTGTTGATGCTCCATCACTGGAGTTTTTTTAAAAGAGGCTGGACATCCACTTATCTGAAATGCTATAGGGCCTCCTGTTTGAGCGGGGGGCCGGACTAGAAGACCTTCAAGGTCCCTGCCAGCACTATTCTGATTCCAATTCTGAATTCATAAATGCCAAGGATCTTCAAGGACTTCTCCAGATTTTGGGGGATTGCACCCAAAAGGTGCCTTTTACTATTGGCCCTACTTTTGCCTCCTTTTGCCACAGTCATCCTATTTCTATTTAACAGAATAAAAATTGGAAGGGACCTTGTAGGTCTTCTAGTCCAACCCAATGCTTCCATTTTCCACCGTTCAATCAGAACTGAGGAAGGTTCTTGGATGAGAAGCGAAGCGTCTTCAAGGAAAAACAAGAAAGTCCATTTGCCTTTTGAAGAAGCACCTTTCGAACAACTGCAAAATGAATGTCAATAATTTCTACTTTCCCACTGAAGCAAGGAAGAAGGTAAAAATCGCAACTCAATATAGGTATAAAATCACCTCTTTCACCCCTCCCTTCTTTGCCTACCCATATTTAATTTGCAAATCAATATGATAATTATGCAATACTTTGAAGGACAAATCTTGATTGTTCCTCGTTTCCAAAGCTGTGATGACACAGACGGTATCACAAAAAGACAAGAATGTTCCATGTCGGAAGTACGTCTGTACACCTTGAGTAAGCCATATGGCAAACTATTTTTACTCCTTGTTAAATTATTATTATTGTTGTTGTTATTGTTATTATTGCTATTGCAATTATTATTATTATTATTATTTCTTTGGAAAAAGAAATTGTGTGTTATCTCAATTGTAATTGGAGCCCTTGGAGCGATACTTAAAGGGCTACCTTGCTATTTGGAATTTCTGTATTTATCAGACTTTAATACCCTGATTCTACAAAAAAAAACCACCCTACTTGGAACAGCTTATATCCTCCGACATTACCTGAACAGTTCCTAGGTCCTTGGTTAGGAGTTGAGCTGTTGAGCTATCAACCAGCCCCAAGGGCTGGGAATCTCACTAAATAATAATAATAATAATAATAATAATAATAATAATAATAATAATAATAATAATAAATTTCTTTGCATTTGAAATTATTTCTTCTGCTTCTTTCCCCCCTACAAAACCTTCCCTCTATTTTTTTTAACTTCAAATATTTGCACACACAAAAGACGTAGGAAATGAACCTCCCAAGATGTTTGACATACGAACCATTGGCATTAATCCGGAAAATGCTGGTGGGAGTACTTTGAAAAATCTCTTGAATTTCGTTCGGATCAATCTGGGTGGCTAGAAAAGAGAAGAAACAGAGACAGAGAGAGAAATGCATCGTTAGATCAGATCACAGACTGCACCACCATAGTCCAACATAAACATTAGCGGGGTGTATAATTCCCTGATACAGTTAATCGTCAACCCGCGAGCACAATTGAGCCCAGAACTCGTGTTGCTAACCAGAGACAATCGTTTGTCGAGTTTTGCTCCGTCTTATGACTTTTCTTGCCACTATTGTTAAGTGAATCACTGCAGTTGTTCAGTGAGTCACATGGTTGTTAAGTGAATCTGGCTTCCCCGTTGACTTTGTCAGAAGGTCGCAAAAGCGGATCCCGTGACCCCAGGACACTGCAACTGACATAAGGACATGCCAGTTGCCAAGCACTTGAATGTTGATCCCGTGACCATGGGGAATCCTGCAACGGTCGTTCAGTGTGAAAAATGGTCACTTCTTTTCAGTGCCGTTGTAACTTTTAACGGTCACACAACAACCTGTTGTTAAGTCAAGGGCTGCCTGTATTCTCCTGTATGTTTGCGTAACAGTTTGGAGATATAATATGTCATGCCCCTGTTGGAATCTGATTCAGAGGGAGAGGTGGAACAGCTGACAGGGTGTGGGAGTGTGGCTCCGGTGGCTGTGGAGGAAACTGGGGAAGGACACAGTCTGGTTGGGCCTTCAGGGGAAGACCCAGGGCCACCTCCTCTTCAACCTAGGGTATGCGGGGAGGAATGGAGAAGGGAACAACATGAATTATGTGGGTTATGGGGGAGAAAATGGCCCTGATCCCCTTCATGGGCTGCAGCTGGGAAGACTGTTTAAAAGGGCAAACTGCGCATGGCCAAGTTGCTGGAAGCAAAGCATGAAATTATTCTGGTTTGTCAAGACTTATCTGAGGAATTAAAGCGACTTTACCTATTTTTGTGACTTTGTTACTTTTGTGCCACGCCCTGGGTCATCAGATAATATGCAGTCATTTAGAAATATTCTCTGTACTTCTTGTTGTTGTTGTTGTTTGTAATTTTCTTACCTCGGTGGGATCTGAGAGTGCTTTGTGTGTTCCTAATTTTTACAAGAACAAAAATATAAGCTCACCTACCGGGGTTACAGATTAATTGGTCTATCAGGAAATTTCTCCTTAGCTCTAGGTTGCTTCTCTCCTTGATCAGATTCCACCCGTTGCTTCTTGTCCTGCCTTCAGGTGCTTCGGAGAATAGCTTGACTCCCTCTTCTTTGGGGCAGCCCCTGAGAGATTGGAACACTGCTATCATGCCTCCCTCAGTCCTTCTTTTCATAAATGACTTAGATGAGGGAGTAGAAGGGGAACTCATCAAATTTGCAAATGACACTAAACCGGCAGGAGCAGCCAACAGCCCAGAAGACAAGCTCAGGATCCAAAACAGATATTGGCACACTTGAACAATGGGCCCTATCCGACAAAATGAAATTTAATATGGAGACAAGCAAGGTTTTACATTTAGACAGGAAAAATCAAATATGTAAAGATTAGGTGAGACCTGGCTCAAAAACAGTAACTGTGAGAGGGACCTTGGAGTCTTAGTGGATGATCACTTACATATGAGCCAGCGGTGTGCAACAGCAACCAAAAAAAACCCCTAATAAAATCCTTGGTTTGTAGAAACAGAGGCACAAAATCAAGATCATGTGAAGTATTAGTACCGCTTTGTAAAACCCTAGTAAGAACCACACCTGGATTCCTGCAACCGATTTTGGTCACCATACTATAAAAAGAGATGCTGAGAGTTTGGGAAAAGTTCAAAGAAGAGTAACTCAGGTGATCAAAGGCCTGGAGACTAAAATATATGAAGAATGGCTGCAGGATTTTGGTTTGGCTAGTCTAAAGAAAAGAAGAATTGAGGGTGACATGATAGTAGTATTCCAGTATTTGAGGGGCTGCCACAAAGAAGAGGGAGTCAAATTATTCTCTAAAGCACCAGAGGGCAAAATGAGAAGTAACAGATGGAAATTAATCAAGAGGAGAAGCAACCTGGAATTAAGGAGAAATTTCCTTAGAGGGAGGACAATAAACCAGTGGAAATGCTTTGACTTCAGACATCATGGAGGTTTTTAAGAAGAAACTAGGCAGTCGCTTATCTGAAATGATATAGGTTCTCCTGCTTGAGTAGGGGGCTGGACTAGAAGACCTCCAAGAGCCATTCTATTCTATTCTATTCTATTCTATTCTATTCTATTCTATTCTATTCTATTCTATTCTAAATTCCTAGTACCTTCAACTTTCCAAACTTCTTTCACCATCCTCTCTGAGGGTTTTTTTTTTTTTTTTTTGGATTGAAGGACAAACTGTCAAAAAAAACTATTTTCACCTTTCCGGGCAGGAAGTTTAGCCGTGATTTATGATTGCAAAATCAGCAGAAATAGAAAAGCTTGTTCCAGCTTGCAATCAAGGTTTTAATCAAGCCTTCCCTGACATTATGTATTTTTTTTTTAATTAACTTGTTTTCATTTGCCTTTTGTTTCCTTATTTAGACGGCTCATTAATAAACAGTGGAGCAGAAAGAACAAAGCAACTGTCCCTAATTTTCAGCCGGTCGTTTCTGTCCTGCTCATATTTTACAATTTAGACGGGAACCGGGCAGGAAATGGGTCTTTTATGGACCCAGCTAATGTAAGATTATGGAGCAAGTTTTTTTTTAAAAAAAAAAAACAAGACAGCTCGAGTCTAAGAATATGGAAATATGGAGAACTAAGCGGAAATAAAAAAAATTAAGAGGGTTTGAAAAAGAAAGAAAGAAAGTTAGAGAGATAAAGAGTCATTTAACTGAATGAAAAGTTTTCCACAACTTTTTCAGGATGAAAGAAAAATACAGTTTTAATAGCATTAAAATACAAAGAGTTTTGCCCACTGTTCAGTTTAACCAAAATTTCAAAAAAAAAAAAAAACTTGAAATGCATTAACCTTCTTCCTATAAAGTTTCGAACTGGTAGATTTGTCGATGTCATTGAAGGGGAGATATGGAGGCCTGAGGTGCATGTTTGAAGGTCTACCATGTAGTATGAGGAACATCTGAAGAGCTGGAGAAGATGATGATCTGTGGGGTCCTTGGTTATTATGAGCTTGGGTTGGTGCTGCTTAGTTTGGATAATGAACATCTGCAAAAAAACAACCAACCTCAGAGAGCACCAAGGATCCCTCACACCCATGATGACCAAGGATGAAGTGGCTCTCGTATTGTCTATGAAGGTTCTCCGTGATACAGGTCATGGTTGCCCCAAAGGTGCTTTCAAAAACTGCAATTGGACTTTAAAAAAATATATATATTGAAGTCATGTCACTTCTCCCCTAAGAAGATTCTTCAGTTCTAACCACCAATTACCAGTAGTTAGAAATGAGGAAGCTTCTTGGATGAGAAGTGACACGTCTTTCAAAAAAATCAATGAAATCCAATTGCCTTTTGATACCACCTTTCTCTCTCTCTCTCTCTCTCTCTCTCTCTCTCTGTGTGTGTGTGTGTGTGTGTGTGTGTCACTCTCTCTCTCTCTCTCTCTCTGTCTCTCCCTCCCCTTCCCCCCCTCTCTCTCACACACACATACACACCAACTTTTAAAATGTTTTGCGTGCGTATCTCTGTGTGTCCAAAGATATTACTATCTACCCATTTACCATATTCCTTAACGGCCTTCCTGGTGCACATATTTCAAAACCGTCTTACTGTAAAATGTGCAGTACCAGCCAACTTATTTTTAAAAAAACCTTGGAATTTACGCAAGTGAAATTTAATAAGGCAGTTAAAACCAAATCCAATTTTAAATACCTCGCAGCCAGAAAACATGCATTAAAAAACTTGGAAGTTAAAACCTATGCACTTTGGGAGAATCATCCAGGAAAAAAAAAAAATTAAAGGGGAGTTAAAAAAAAGATTTATACCCAACCGAAATGTTTCGAACAGCGCGCACTTTGGGAGAATTCAATGTCGGTTTATTAGGCTTTTAACCAGATTCGGTAAAAATTGCCTTCTGATCAGGGAAGATGTCAGCCAGAGATTAACACATTCGGACGATTTTGTTCACAACCATTTTGTTTCGTTGGGAAGTTTCCGGCGAAGAGCCGTTAAACTAATCCCAGCTCCGCGTTATAAGCAGTTTCTAATTTAGGGAACCGGTTTCGCTCAACTGGCTTTACAAATGAAGAACTACCCAGCATTTTTTAAATCAATAACAGAGGAACATCAAAAGTGGAGCGGCGAGATGGAGAAGGGATGCGTATAGAAAATGTCTTCTCCCGAACCTCCGTTGGATGGGGCTTGTCAGGGGATGACATGATTCCCGTCGTAATTTGCACACGAGAGGATTCAGTGGGATGCTTCAAACAATCCCATTTTTCTTTTCAATTAAGGAAACCCAGTTTAGTGGGAAATAGGAGTTTCTGGGAGTCTTTAACGCTCCCTGAGCCCCGGGTGGTTTCCTTGCAGATGTCTCATTGTCAAACTAGGGAATATCACAGCACTGATGATATAGCCTAGTTGGGTAATGAAATGTCTGCAAAAAAGAAGCAAACTTGGAGAGTACCAAGGACGTCCTCCTCCTTCCCCACCCTCTCTGCTTTCTACGCTGTCCCCACTCCTCTCCTCCCTTCCTCTCTCCTCTCCCCACCTCTCCTTCATCCTCTCTTCCTTCCTCTCTCCTCACCTTCATCCTCCCTTTCCCTCCTCTCTCCCTCCTCGCTTCTTTCCTCTCCTCTCCTTTCTACCTTCCCTTCTCCTCTCCTCTCCTCCCTTCCTCTCCTCCCTCTCTTCTCCTTTTTTCTCTTCCCCTCTCCTTTCTTCCCCTCTCTGCCTTTCCTTCTCCTCTCCTATCTCCTTTCTCCTCTCCTCTTCCCTCCTCACCTTCATCCTCCCTTCTCCCTTCTCCCTCTCCTCTCTTCTCCTCTCTCTTCTCCTCTCCTCTCCTCTCCTTTCTACTTTCCCCTCTCCTCTCTTTGATTAAGCAAGACAATTACACAAACTCCTTGCTTAACAACCATCACGACTTCACGGTC